CCCCCCCCCCCCCCCCCCTCAGGGGGCAGATCCATGACACCCTGCACACACAGGAAGTGGGCTGCATGATGATGAGCACTATTCAACCATACACTGCAGTCTAAAGCCTTTTTTCTCTCTCTCTCTCTTGCAGGGGCATCGGTGGGATAACTACACAGAGTTTCTCTCCAGCCAAGGCATGACCGATTTAACTCTGTTTTTAGAGGCCAGCGTCAATCGTGTGGCCTCCAAGAAGAAGGATACCACTGATGAGTCTGGATCTTAAGAGGTGTTCTATGGTTAGGGTCTACAGCAGGGTTGGGCAACCTCCGGCTCTCCAGCTGTGATACTACAAACCCCATCATGCATCTGTCTCTGGGAGTCATGCCTATGGCTGTTAGAATCTTGCAATGCCTCATGGGATTTGTAGTTCAACGGCGGCCAGAGTTTGCCCACCCCTGGTCTACAATCATTGGGATTAATAATGAAAGCAGGTTAAGGTAATTTAAATCCGAACTCCAGGCAGATACAAGCCACAAATGAATGCAGCTCTGTATTCATCAATGCAAACTTTGGATTCAAGACAAGCAGCGTCTGCATCTAAATTTGACTTGGTATGAGCCTCTTGCAGTTCCTGTGCAGCAGAGCTGAAGGAGGGTGAAGCAGCGCAAGGAGCCAGTCGGTTGTGCTGCAGCGCAAGGAGCCAGTCGGGTGTGCTGCAGGGCAGGGGTCCAGTCGGGTGTGCTGCAGGGCAGGGGTCCAGTCGGGTGTGCTGCAGGGCAGGGGTCCAGTCGGGTGTGCTGCAGCGCAGGGGTCCAGTCGGGTGTGCTGCAGCGCAGGGGTCCAGTCGGGTGTGCTGCAGCGCAGGGGTCCAGTCGGGTGTGCTGCCGCGCAAAGAGCGTTCTCATATGTAGAGAAAGAAGAGAGACAAGCTCATCGTCGGTGATGCTTCTCATTTTACAGTCCAGTCACTGGGTGGGGGGGGATCAGACCTGTAAGTGTTATTGGAAAAAATGATTGGACTTGCCCTGCCAGATGGGTGTGTGGGGCCAGAGCTGTGTACATCTCAGGACTGGATGGACAGAAATACAAATTGTTATGTTTTTACGGAATTCAGCTTTAAGATAGTAATGTTAATAGTGTAAAATAATCTTTGTCCTGGTATTTTACTAGGTATAAGCAGGTGCCACGCTGTATACATGTATAAAATATTGTAAATAACAGAAAATAAAAGCAGTACCGATGATTGGGCGCCGTGTAAAATGTTTCTAGTTTGCCTAATGGGTGTAATATTTAAAGTATCTCTGTATTTTTCGTTTTTAGATTGAATTGGATTAAAGTAGACCTTTACCCCCCTCCCCTCCGTGTGCAGCTCTGCATGCTGGTATGAAATAATTCCACATTCATTAATTAAACAAACTTATTTTTCTTTTACTGGCAATTACTATTTTTCCACTTCCTGGTCCTCTTGGGCATTAGTGAGGTAATGTGCCCAAGCGTTGCATCCTGGGAAGGTTACATCACCAGAGTATTGCTGTAATCTCAGGGAAAGGCATTTTCCTCCCCTGAGATAGTCATGCGGGCTGGAGTTCCAGGAAGTAAAGCAAGATCTAGTAATCTGCCCTTTGGAGCAGTTGCCCGTAGTAACCAATCAGCTGTTAGGTTTTGAAAGTGAGGGGCTGATTGGTTACTACGAGCAACTGCTCCAGATTCTGTCTGCTGTTCCCAAATCTGTTTTCTCCCATTTCCTGTTTCATCTCACGAACAGGAAAGGATATCCTTTTAGACCAGGGGTTCACCAAACTGTGACCCTCCAGCTCTTGAAGAACTACAAGCCCCATGAGGCTCTGTAAGACACGGACAAACTTTTTGGTATGACGCCCCCAGGCAGATACACAATGGGTTTTGTAGTTTCACTGCAGCTGGAGGAGCAAAGTTTGCCTTCCTTTGCCCTAGAACAGTGGTGGCGAACCTTGGCACTCCAGCTGTTTTGGAACTACAAGTCCCATGAGGCATTGCAAGGCTCTGACAGCCACAGACGTAACTCCCAGAGGCAGATGCATGTTGGGACTTGTAGTTTTGGCACAGCTGGAGTGCCAAGGTTCGCCACCACTGCCCTAGAACATCCCCCTCCCTCCTAGCAAAGCCCTCTCCTTTCTAGGGAGTGTCACATTGCTGTCTTTGCTGGCCCAGCTCCTTCCTCCTAGCAAAGCCCTCTGCCTTCTAGGGAGTGTCACATTGCTGTCTTTGCTGGCCCAGCTCCTTCCTCCTAGCAAAGCCCTCTGCCTTCTAGGGAGTGTCACATTGCTGGCCCAGCTCCTTCCACCTAGCAAAGCCCTCTCCTTTCTAGGGAGTGTCACATTGCTGTCTTTGCTGGCCCAGCTCCTTCCTCCTAGCAAAGCCCTCTCCTTTCTAGGGAGTGTCACATGGCTGCCTTTGCTGGCCCAGCTCCTCCAACCCTCCCTATAAAACCTTTTATGTAGCAGCCAAGGGAAGAGCAAAACGGAATACTATAGAGCAGAGGTTGGCAGACGTCTCTCCTCACCCTCCTGTATTGTAACTGTACAGTCTCCCCTATATATTGTAAATTGCTGCGCAAAACTTGGCGCTGTGAACTCCATCTAAAACCCTCAATGTTGTTTTTTGAGATTTATGCTCACTTCCTGTCTAGTAAAACATCGTCAGCGAGACAGGAAGTGAGAATAAATCTCTTTAATGTAGCTACAGGTAGCAGTAGAAACAGTGGTTTTGGCTGGCCATACACTTTTAGGGGCTGCCATGACACTTTATTACTTTTTGTTTTCTCCCCGCCCCTCTTTATTTTGGAGAACCTATATGTGGAATATTCGGCGTCCTCCAATAACTGCCGGGAGAAAACAGGATTACTTTTTTTGTATAATTTTCTTCAGACGGTCATTGGAGGACTCGGCTTCCGTTCCCTCTCGATCATCTCGGCAGGCTACACATTATTATTCATACCATAAGGGAGATGTTTTCTTTGCATCTTCACGCTGATCTCATGATGAAAACTTTGTACGCCACAAAAGAAGCCAAAACGAATACAAAAGTCTATAACTTTATTTCAAAAAGGAAAACACTTCATAGGAAACGGTCTATGCCACAGCACCAAAAAGGTCCAATGACATCTCCTTCCTGTCCATATAGAACACTTGCAATTGCATAATCTGGGGCATACAGTATTTGAAATATTGGGATCCCAAAAATATAATGGCTCGGATGAGCAGCAAAAACAAAAGCAGTATATGGAGTTTGTGGAGTCCCAACCATGACCCCTATATGAGCCTGTTGGAAAGCCCAGTCCAAACCATGGCCATTAAAGGAGAACTATGGGGTCAGGGCTTTTCCCCATAGTTCTCCTTAGGGTAACAGGAGGACACAAACTAGCGTCCTCCCGTCACCCTAAGCTCAGTATACCGCGAGCTGTATACTGAGACGCCGAAGCGGATCACAAAAATTATGTCTGGATCCGCCCAGCTGCATGATTGACAGCTGGCTCTGCCTCCCCCGTCCGTTGCGCCAGTCAGCGCTGGCGGATCGGAGCGGGGAGGGGGGAATCCAGCCCCTCCCCTGTCACGGCAGAGAGCTGTGACAGGATCGAGAGGGGCGCGAACGCCGGTATGTGCTCGCTCACCTCCCGATCTACTGAGCCGACCTGTGACAGTCTCATTGTCACAGGTCGGCTAGAACTATGAGGCTGAGTGAAAAGCACTCCCCTCATAGTTCTCCTTTTAATGTGGAGTTGGCGATTTAACATCCTCCACTCTTCTGGGAAGGCTTTTCAGATTTTGGGGTGTCCTGAGGGAGTTTGCGCTATATAAATCCTGTATAATTTGTGAGGTCAGGTGCTGATGTTGGATGAGAAGACCCGGCTCACAATGTGTATTCCTATTCATCCTAAAGATGTTCAGTAGGGTTGAGGTCAGTACACTTAAATTCCTCCACACCAAGCTGGCCAAACCATGTCTTTATGGAGCTGGCTTTGTACACAGGGGACAGTTATGGTCAGTAAGGTTGAGGTCAGGTACAGATGTTGGATGAGAAGACCTGGCTCACTATCAGCGTTCCAGTTTATCCCAAAGGTGTCCAGTAGGGTTGAGGTCAGGGCTCTGTGCAGGACACTCGAGTTCCTCCACACCAAGCTGGTCACACCATGTCTTTATGGAGCTGGCTTTGTACACAGGGGACAGTCATGGTGGAACAGAAAAGGGCCTTCACCAAACTGTTACCACAAGAGCACAATTGTCTACATGGCCCACTGACCATCAAACCTATGATCTTGTTGGACATCAGATTCCAAAAGCATGGCCATGAATATGGAGTTGCCTCCTGTTGTGGCTATACCAGCCTCCACTCTTCTTTCCACAAGATTTTGGAGGTTGTCTGTGGAAATTTGTACCCATTTGTGAGGTCAGGTCCTGATGTTGGATGAGAAGATCTGGCTCACAGTGTGAATTCCAATTCATCCCAAAGGTGTTCAGTAGGGTTGAGGTCAGGGCTCTGCAGGATACTCAAGTTCCTCTTCACCAAATTGGTCAAAATGTGTCTTTATGGAGCTGGCTTTTTGCCCCTGAACTCAATAACTCCTATGGGACGTCTATGTTTCTTAAGGTGTTCCTGTATTCCAAAGGGTTGCAGGGCTCTGGTATGGGGAAACTTGAGTGGTCTTCACAAATTGCTCAGCCCATGTCTTTATGGAGCTGGCTTTGTGCCCCTGGACTCAATTCCTATCGAACACCTAAGTTCCCTAAGGTTGCAGTCAGGCCTCTGGTGTGGGAGAACTTGGGTGACCTTCACATACTGGTCACACCATGTCTTTTATGGAGCTGGCATTGTGCCCCTGGACTCCGATCCTATCGAACACCTAAGTTCCCTAAGGTTGCAGTCAGGCCTCTTGGGTGACCTTCACATACTGGTCACACTATGTCTTTTATGGAGTTGGCATTGTACACAGGGGACAGTCAAGGTGGAGCAGAAAAGGGTCTTCACCAAACTGACCACAAGGCTGGAAGAGAACAATTATCTACAATGTCTGTGTATGATGTAGTATTAACTGAACCTTCACTGGAGACACCTGAACTCAATTCTTCAGAGGGAGGTCCACATACTTTTGACCATATCGTATGTCTCTGGGCTGGTTTTAATACATTTATACTTGCTATAGCAGCCCAATGCCCGCCTTTGATGCCTCCTACGCAAACTTCAAGGTATCCTTCTATACATGTGAGAAATGCCCACAATTCTTAGGTGCATTCATAAAAATAAACACGGTGGTCAAACTCCTTGAACTTGCTGAATCTGATCCGCCATAGTTCCTGGAACAAGCTGACGTTCG